CCCTCTCTTCTCTCCCTCCTTCTCTCTTCTCTTCTCTGCTCTTGCTCTCTCCCTTTCTCCTTCTCTCCTCTCTCTCGCTCTTATCTTTTTTTCTCTCTCTTCCTCTATTCCTCTCTCTCTCTCATCTCTCTCTCTCTCTCATCTCTCTCTCTCTCTCTCTCTCTCTCCTCTCTCTCTCTCTCTCTCTCTCTCTCTCTCTCTCTCTCTCTCTCTCTCTCTCTCTCTCTCTCTCTCTCTCTCTCATTCTCTCTCTCTCTCTCATCTCTTCTCTCTCATCTCTTCTCTCTCATCCTTCTCTCTCTTCTTCTCTCCTCCTCTCTCTCTCTCTCTCTCTCTCTCTCTCTCTCTCTCTCTCTCTCTCTCTCTCTCTCTCTCTCTCTCTCTCTCTCTCTCTCTCTTCTCGATAGCACTGACCTTGACCTTTACTGGTTCGCATCATTAGCTTACCTGGTAGGTTTGAGCCATTAAACCTTCTTCCTCAAGATCTACATATGGCAGTAGTCATAAAATCAGATTTAAAATGAAAAGGAAATTGAACAGGGTGGTGCCGAGCCTATAAGAGCAAATAGATATTCATAAAATATGTGGATGTAAGTTGAACTTTGTTATACTCTTCATATCCTCTATCAAGCTATATATATTTCTAAGTTTTAATTCACTGTAAGAAAATTATAGACTGTTATCAGTGCCCAAGAATAAAATAGTAGTGAGTCAGGCAAAGGGGAACCCCGCCCTTAAAGTACACACTTGATGCCATGGGTCGCTGAGGGCATTTGTACTGTACCTCCGATAAGGCAGGCTGTATCTGGTATGATAATTAGGCTTTCGGACCCAGTTATCAGGTGCATGTGAGTTTTCGTACTAGGAGCCCGTATCGCAGTCGAAGGTCGCGCCTTATCGCTGTTGTGATGCTCAGCGCGGCGATAACTGATCTCTGTCATTCAATTATCAACAGGTTTGTCGTCGATTTGATGCGGTGAGTAGCGCGGCGTAAAGTGAACGTCGAGTAGGAGAGCGGCGGTGGAGCGGCGGCCTCGAGGTCAGCGCGGCCGTCAGGAGGATTCTGATAAAAAACAGCCTTCAGAGCACGCTGTCGGTCCCCTGAGGAGGAAAGGCGGACGAGACGGAGGGCGTGAGTGTGCGGGGCGTTGCAGAGGGGCTGGACACGGGCGTGAGGCGGGCGAGAGTGAGGCGACGGCACCATGGCGGAAGCTCGCAGTGCCGTGGCCACGCCGAGGGTCCAGAAGAAGGACCTCGGCACCACGGACTCCTTCGACGACCTCCTCAATCGTACCGGCAGATGATCCCCGGAACTACTTTCGATTCAGGTGAGGACTGTATATACATACGGGAAGCGGGAGAGTGAGTGTAGAGGAGGAAAGAGAGAAAAAAATTGAAAGAAAAATAATATAATATAAATATATATATTATATATATATATATATATATATGTATATATAATATATATTATAAATTTATAATATAATAATTAATATAATTATATATAATATATTATATAATATAATATATATATAAATATATATATTATATATTATTATATATATTATATATATTATATAATATAATATATATATATTATATATATATAGAAGAGAAGAGAGAGAAGATGAGAGAGAGGAGGGGGGGGAATAGAAATATACAACATACGGTGAGATGGGAGAATATATAGAGAGGGGAGGAGGGAGGGAGGGAAACGTTGATGAAAGAGGAGGGAAAGGGATAGGGACGAGAAGATAGAGAGAGGAGGGTATAGGGAGGAGGAGAAGAGGGGAATACATAAAGAGAAAGATGAGAGGGAGTGAAGGGAAAGAGAGAGGGAGAGATGAAGGCGAAAGAGATGGAGGAAGAAAGGGAAGAGAGGAGGGGCTTGGTGAAGAAGAGAGAGAAGATGAGAATGGTAGAGAGAGGAGAGATGAGAAGGGAAGAGTAGGGGAGGAAGGAGAAGGGAAGAGAAGATATAAGAGGAAGAGAGAGAGAGAGAAGAGCCGACGACAGTCTGCCTTAACAGCTTCCAGCGTCGAAGCGCAGACCATGAGTTGGTCAACAGAGCCAGTGATGAGCAGTATTTCAACGTTGCGCAGTGAATATTATAGCGCGATTTTTTCCTGATCACGTATGGTGTCCAAAGTCCTCCAGCAGCGCCAGCATCCGGGCAGAGATGATGACTGCTGCCATGGGAGAATCAACGTCTGATCTTGATGCATATCATTGCTACATTGATTCCCGACGGCTGCAAATCTGTGGTTGCACTACAGCTTAGATATTATATTGCCATGTTCATGGTGTTGGTACAAGGGATTAGGTCGGACGACAGAGATATCACCATACACCTAACATGTATGAGATTAGCTTGTCCAATTTCCTCGTTTGATAAGATACGGAACCTGCAGCCGGAGACAAGAAATCACTTGGTGACATAGGTCGAGCAAACTCCCACAAGCTGAATGACGAAACGCAGAGTAGACCGCGCGAGGGAGCTTAGAGCAAAAGGAAAATGACTTAGGACCAGTAGAGTGACGTGTCGGGAGGGTTACTGAGTTACTGATTTAGGTATACAGATAGAGAGACAGGCAGAAAGAATAGTAAGGCTAATCTTAGGTGACAAAATGCCCAAAGCTAAACGTGTTTCGACCTGGCAGCCCTCGACACAGCAAGGGAGTCCAAGCCTTCTCTTTTCTCCCCCAACAGGAACTCGATCCGTAACGGAGTATGGCCGACCTCGACCAACAACCTGGGCGTGGCCTGCGGGTTCTCCCTCTACCTGCTGGAGTACGAGCCCGCGTCAGGGCAGGCTGTCACCGCCTACCTCAAGAGGGCCGTGGACGCGTTGCCACTCCCGATAA